CATTCTTCATGGTAATGTTCTAATTTGTTTAACCTAAGCTTAATATAAACTCTTGAGCATATTCGTATAGTAGATATAATATATTTAAGTGCGATCAAAAATCGAGGAACTGACCGATGGAGGCGCGATTCCGGCAGAAAAGGCCGCAGAGTTGTTGTTCACCGGCAACTCGAATGACTTGGTCGTGAACAAAGCTTTCGGCGCCAAAAAAGGTATGCGGTCATAAAGTTAGGCGATTCGTAGCCCTTTGTGTCTTAAACAGGCAGTCAAATGGGTCAGAAGATCAAAACCGCGTTTCGAGTTCCACAGGGCAAAAATCTGGTGTCCAGTTTCAAAGCTGGCGTCGTCGGTGGCGATACGGGACGCATCCGGTTTTGCCGAACCTTCATTGGTCATCGCGATGGCGTTTGGCACGTGGACGTCCGGAAGTCGATGCTGTGCTCTGCTTCGACCGGTGAGTGGACATTGTTTCAAATGGTGTAATAGCTGGACGGTGTCTTCTCAAATGATTACTGATTCGGTGTCAGTATTTGAAACGAGAGGTCCTCCAGGTAAGTTCTTCGATATGATTGTCGTAATCGTGCTGAAAGTTTATTTATTCTAGGTTGATGTTGATCACTTTCCTAGCACTGAAACAGAGGTGTTCTGATTTGGGTCTCTCATCTAACTTATCATAAACGAAGTCGATGGAAATTAGTGAAGCCCACACCAACGACAGTCTGACCTTTAACAAGGGAGTTGTGCGAAAGCTCTCAAGACATCTGTATCTTGAGAATACATTGACTGCAGATGGACGAGTGACAGAGCAGGTTCAAAATACCTGGGCATTAACAGCGTTCAACAAATTATTCATGTTCTAGATTGACTAAAATGATAGCAATTCCACATAGTTGTGGATGCGTGGAACTTGCATTGTGAACATCTTGCTCTATGGCTAGGTAACGGCGGCATTTAGGCTGAAAATGAAAAACTCGAAGCAATGGAAGTCAAGATTTTATCATCAGTATTAGGAATGAAGTGGTGCAGCGATGTGCTAAATGCTGTTGTAAGAAAGAAATTAGAATACCAAACTCAAATGACTCAGTGGTTGCACACAATGCGTTTAGGATGAGAGTGAGACTTTGACACCAATGGATTATAGCCGCGTTGCAAAGCGAAGTACTGAGCGCAAAGCCTGATGGCAGGAGCTGACCGGAAAGTCCTCGTACAAAATGAGAAGATCTTGTTAGAACTGACATGGCATCGCAAGGATTTTACCGTGACCATGTATTTACTCGATTCAGGTATTTACTTATGGGATGCTCGGCATCTTCTTCGATACGATGTGATAAGAAGCAGATGCCGTTTCGAACGACATAATATTCCATGATCTGGACACAAATTCGATATACGGTTCACCGTGCGTCAATATATTTGACACAGACAAGAAAACTGCGCCATAAGCTTGTGGGTTTACAAAATACGTAATTCCTAACTCGTTTTATAATTACTTTGAAGTCTTGTTAAGAGCGAGTTGCTACAACAGCTGCAGCAATGGCTTTTTACAACTACAAGGACAACAGTTGCTGAACACAACTACTGAAGAAAAAATATAGTTCAGCGAACCTCAATGGCTTATTACCATGTTTTTATTCTTTTAAAATACCTTAAATGGGAGTAAGTAATTGTCCTCACTTGGAGAGCGTAATGCTTCAAAAATCAGTATAGGAAAGACCAATCATCATTGTTAATTAGATTGTCGAAGTTACGCAGCTGCTAGACAAGTGGAAAATATTTGTTTATGGCCTTTGTCTATACTTTGATTCCATATTGAATAAGATCTCGCTGTCGAAAATCTTGAATAAACTGGCTTTAATTCAAGAAGATAGAATACTGGCATAATGAATATTTTGACATCAGATATGGCGATTTCAGTCTTCAGAACAGCAAGACTTGTGTTGTTAAGCGCACGGATTATGTCCTCGTGAGTTCATCTTCTGTACCGCTGACAACATAAGGTTCATTGCAGATTACGTTTTTTCAAATATGCAGTCAACATG